ACCATTTCTCGCGGTTTAAACCTGTTTTCAAGTTCTTGGTAAAATCCAAGATGGCGACCATTGTTGGTGACGTCACAGGCCTCCAGCAGCGCCACCACCCATAAAATATACCTCATCTTGTTAAGAAGATCAAAGGCTTTCAACTAGAGGTAAAAATCATTTCGACATACTGCAACATATCAAAAACGCCGGGGAGGGGTTCCATCCACCCCCCACCCCCTTGTACCACGGTTATGATTATCAAATCATTAAGGAAACCATCCGAGAGTATACAACTTAAATTGCAAAACATAGATGGTTGGTGCCACCTATTAGAACAAAAAGATCATTAAATGTGTGGGCGTTATGATCGATAACGCGGTAAGTTGGAAATATCACATCTCTTATACTTGCTCGCATATCTCGCGTAATACTGGCATTGTTTCAAGGCTAAGGCATTAATTATCTTTCTATTTATCAACTCAAACAAATCTTTTGTAGCCTTGTATACCCTTATTTGTCATATGCTGCAATAGCTTGGGGCAGTGCTTATAAAACGCATCTACAAAAATTGCAAACTAGACAAATTAATGTTTTTGCAACTACATCTGGACCTTTCACTGAAGCGCCCTCCCTTACCTAAATGTTTTAGACGTTCTAACAGTAAATAATGTTTACCGTTTCCACACTTTAAAATTTACTCATCAAGTTACGCTACGATAAGAGCGTGATTATGTTTTAGTTGACAAAATATTTTGCGTCCGGCCTGAATGTGAACAACCAAAGAAATAAACACGCGATTTATGAAGCCCAAGACAGTACACTTTATTGCTAAGAAGTACATTAAGAATACATCTATCAAAATAAATCCAAATAAAAATACGAGAACACCAAAGCCGGACACGTAAACCCCGAAAAACCAATTCTGGAAATACTGGGGACCGTGCACCCCAACCAGTGTTATGGTGATGCCTTTGGGGTTTTAGGGCCTGCTAGCTTATATAAATACGAGGAAAATTAAACTTTTAGTAAATAGAAATAACCTCTTAGTTTAACTAGGCTAAAAGAAAAGAAAAAACTGTTTGCTTGCTTAGTTGTTGAGTCGGCAAAGCTACCCCCAGAATAACGCGACTTAACGTTACGCATAACGACTGTCGCCGTTTCAAAGTACACAACAGCCATGATATCAAAGCGCTTTACGAGCGCATCAACCTGAATCTCTGTTTTTGTGCCTGCAGAACTGAATTAAATTGTGTTTATTGAATCAATGTAAAGATTCCGTGCCTTCAATCGGCAGATAGCCACCACAACGTTTTAATTTTTTTCTTTCCTTCAGACAAATTCATATCAGGCAAAACATTTCCTTTGGAACATCTAGAAAGCTTCATGCATTACAATGTTATGGCTCGTTATCTTACATGTTAAGCTATGAAATCAGCGAAGTCAGTGGCATTAATTATAATAAAAGAAGAATCACAGAAGTTCCAAGTTACTCTGTTATTTCCGTAGCCGAATTGATAAATCTTGCCAATTGCAAAATAGCTTTCCCAGTCATCATGGTTCCCACGTTTGTTACATATTGACCTTTTTCCGTGTTCATCCAGCACGAAACCAATACAAATAAACCTCCCTTTTCCTCTTTCACACTGTTCTGCAAGTTCTAGTGTGCGTACGAGAGTAAGCTCTTCCCTTTCCGCAAGCAATTTAAGTCTTACATAGTCTGATCCACATTTGCACAGGACAGCTTCTCTTATCTGATTGCCAAAGTCTGCCCCAAAATTGCCATCTTTCCCTTCTTTTCTCAGTCGAGTTTCAAACTGCAAAACAGTCTCACGTGGCTAAAGTTGGAGTTGGTGGGCGAAAGCTAACATTCAATGCTGTTACAGCTGCAGCGTAGTCAGATGCTTCGCCGGTGTTCGCAAGAGCGGAGAAGATTTCTTTGCAAGATTATGAATTTCAAAGCTTAGAAGTGCCAAAGTTTTTAAAGTTTTGCGGGATTGGCAAACAATTGGAAGAAATTTTTTTATATGGAACGTACAGCTTCTATATGAACGCGGAAAAAGTATGTTCCGCTTCGGTTGCTTTTCTGGTTTTGTCTCCAAGACTACAGTAAATGAAACTGATGATAATAATGAATTGTTTTGCTTGTGTTTATGTGAGTGTTAAAATACGCAAAAAAATGACAAAAATTCTTTAGAGTCTACATGTATAAAAGAGAGCAAGAGTCAAAATCTTGAAAGTTTGGATTGGTGTTTGTGGTCCACATTGCCTCAACCAAACATGGCTTAAATGGTTACTGACTGAAATATTTGAGGCGTTCAGTATCCTGGGTGTGTAATTGAGCGTGGTCACATATGTGGGGCTGGTCTGCGTTGCCCGGCTGGCCTCATTACCAAGGTTAGCGTTCTTTCCGGTATTACACGAGTTGAGCGAGCCAAGGATGGCTCTGACGCGAACATCCTGGCGTTTTTTGGAAATGGAGTGTGTGTTTATATTTATTTACAGTTTATGCTATTTATTTGTTTACTTTTAAACATCATCATTCTATGTTGGAAAACTGGTATCAATGTTTTCTTTAGTGTATATATAACGAGAGATGTTTATGCTGTGGATCAAGCTTGGTCTTCATGTACCTCTGCTGTATAACGATTTGCATCACTGATTAGAACTTTTCGCAGTCATCTATTTTTTACAATAGTTAAGTTACCTCCAGAGAATAATGGATTTCTTTTGTTTCTGTATTAGTAAACCCATCAAACTTGTTCAAAAATTGAGAAACAAGTTGAAAAATATGTGGCAAGAAGATGTCGACAATTTTTGTGCCAACAATGGCGCATAGTCGACTAGTTCCAATTGCAGTCAAAACTAAACAAAGCAAAGACTGGTGGTGTCTAAAATGCTTTCCCCTCCCCCGTCTTACCAACTCCTATTCCTATCGTAAAAAAAATGACTTCTCATTTAAATAGCCGCCCTTTTATATTATGGCAAGTACAGATTCATTTAAAAATGACTCTGTACTGACGTCAGCACATCAAGTCTTGACTTAATTTTCAGGCATGAAAATCTTTATCCATGCTGGTCGTCGGGAAGGGTTTGTCTTGTATAGCTTTCTATCCATCGTCGAGCATACTTGCTTGAACACTTTCCCATAGCTTATTTCTTACTTTTGCATTGCGGGATCAATTAAGGTTTCTGGGAAACTGCCCATCTACCCCTCCCTTAAGCCATCATTTTGCCCTAAGTAAGTGTTAATGTTAGCTTAGGGGAGGGGTTCTGGGTTTCCCAGAAACCTAAATTAATTCGCGTTGCGCACTGGCCCTTACTGCGTATAATTTCAAGTGATTAGTGCGTGCAAAAGAGTTTGTTGGCCTATCATATGCGTATCTTTTTTAAAAAATTGTAATCTTTCTTAAGAAGAAAAGTAGATGAAATCCCAGTGAAGGAGAGATACAATCATTTCAGTCGTCAGAACTAACTTGTTCATAGTATGTACCTCTCTGTACTTGTACTGATATAACCATATTGATATTGTAAATAGTTATAGCGTACATACAAGGTATCTTTGCCCCTAAACAAATATGGGAACCCCTGCCCCCACCCCACCCCCCTCCATCCCATTTCTATTTCAAAAGTTCGTATTAGTTAAACAACGCATAGGTACCTGGACCAAATCTCAGTCCATTTTCTAATTTCAGTGAAATAACCTTAAACCCCGTTTTGCAGCAATTTTGATGCGATTTTTAGTGCGATTTTAAATCGACCACTTCTGTCAACTAGCTGCAATTTTACGGCGATTCGTTTCTGCAAATTGCCCCTGTTTTAAACTTGCAGGAAATTTGATTTGCACGCGAGTTTCTTCTCCCGCTTACTATAGCCAAAAACCTATCTTGAGACTCTTGACGGACAAATGTTTGCATGCACTAGATGTTTTTCTAGCTACAATAAAATTTCTTTCTTCAGCCCCATACATGACGGTAAGGGACCGCGACCGCTTTTGGGGAAATCTTCTCGGGAGAATTCCCCATGGTTTGATCTCGTAGGCGAGATCTAAATCTTTACATTTCAGGTTTTTCATTAAGGAAGGTTCGGCTTACGGATAGAGATGTATCAAAGTGAGGCGGTGATATACAACGCAAACTGACCAAAATTTATTACAACTAGTCAAGGAATATAAAAGCTTGGCACATGCTTGAAAACAGTCAAATTAAGGGTCTGCCGCTTGCAGCGAGAAATTTCCATGAAGTGGCCTCCATATACATAAACCCAGTAGGTCACCTTTCACCATGGACGCAAATAATCACGTTACGATCAGAATTGCGACGTTATGCTTTTGCTTTACTACGTACTGGAAGGTAAGTTGCAATGTTCATGGGGATCCTCTTGTAGAGAAGTGACTTGTCTTTGAGAGATTGTGCTCACAAACGTAGCATAATAATTTATTTATCCTACTAGCAGTGCTCGTATATTTCTAAGATTGTGCCAATAACTGTGCTAGTTTCTGTAAACTATGCTCATTTAAGCAAAAAAACAAAATGCAGAAATCGTGCTTCTACTATTTACTGTAAATTTGATAAAACACTTCAATGACTTTGCAACAAACAAGTAAAAGGCAAACACACTTACCCTATTTTCATCTAGAAACGTTTATATTGTCTGACGGCTAAAAACAATTAAAACAATTGAAAACCAAATCGCGGGAGCCATCTCAGGTAACCGAGCTAGTTATGCGCATGGGTTGAGTCCTGTAAAAAGGGTCCTAGCTCACTTCCCATGAGACCCAGTTCCTATGAATGTGACAACGAGCAGGCCGTCCAAAAATTCATTTTGTTACTTAAAATAAGTCAATATGCGTGTAACACTGATATCGGCAGTGACAATTTTTAACTACAAAACTAGCTAAAAAGTGTAAATTATGCTAGCACTGTTTTTTTTTTGGGAAATAGATTAATATTATGCCCATAATGACGAATTATGCCAAAAAATAGATTTGCATAATCTATCAAAACCAAGAAGTGACCAGCCTATTGCTGTGGTGGCGGGATTTCTTCCACGTAAATCCGAGATACTGAATTCCATCCTGAGTGTGCATCAGCATTATATGAGTAATCCCTGCAATAGCCAACATGAAAGCCGACCTCTACAATCCCGGCGGGGAGTGCATTGCAGACTCCTTCAATATGGCGAACACGGAACGGGTTTAACGTGGCACCTGAAAGCATGTAGACTAGACCGTCGATAGGATCAGGAGTAGAACACTCGTTGCCATTAAAAGTGAAATACCAACGCTTGCAGCAATTGCTGCACTTTTTGATACGAAGTCCTCCACTCCAGTAGACTCTAAGACTGGTTTTTGACGATAACTTTCTAAACGTACAACTCTAGGGTAATTTCGAAAGAAAAAAAGAAATAATGTTAGCTAGCAAATTGAGTTCTAAATGAAATATCTTACCTTGTAAGATATCCTATGGAGTGAAAACCTCCAAGAAGTTGCTATGGAAAGGGAATTCTTACTTTAAACGTTATTGTTGAGTTGCTAAATTATATACTACTTAATAACAGAGAGTGAGGTCATTACAGGGACATCTCAGACTGAGGCTTTGATGTAAATGAGTTGTACACTTGAGCCCGCGATACAGTCAGGTGACACTGGTCAGCGGATACATTTTTTGACAGCTGTCAATCACGACTATAACATGGATGTCCATAAGCAAGAGAGAATGATCTAGCTCATTCTCTCTTGCCATAAGTACGTCCACCATCAAGTTAAAGACAGATTGTATATGCCTTAGACACCTAGCCAGTAATGCCCGGACATTACAAGAAAACAGCCAATCAGAGCGCGCGTACTATTGTAGCCATATAATAACATAACGTAATATATAGAGAATACTTCATGGAAAGTGCTGTGGTACGGTATTTACGCACGAGTTGTTGAAGTATCAGAAATCGAACGAGTGAGCGCAGCGAACGAGTAAGATTTCTGATACAAAAACAATGAGTGCGTAAATACTGTACGCCAGCACTTTCCATGTGGTATTGTGTTTATTATATACATACTGAGACATTCATCATTTTGGCGGCCTTTTTATATTAAATCTTTCAAAAATGCTAAAATATGCCGCTACACACTTACCGAAAATGACAACGAAAACGAAGTATCAGCTTTTTAGTAGAAACGTTTGTTAAAAACATAAATGACGGTGAGGATACGAGGTAATCCAAGAACTATAAGTAATCTTAACTGTTTGTTCTCAATGCACAATTGAAAATGCGTGAATTTAAGTAAAATGGCCGGTTTCAATATAAGCTTAAGCTTAAATGAAAGGCAAAGTAGCTCCGACAAAAAGCACAACAAAAGCTTACGTCTTGTTCTGTTTATCCCTTTCCGCTGTTGTTTCGCCGGTTCTCTACCGTTTTCTTTATCGACAGTGAAACAAACGAAACTATCCCACTCCATTTCCGAAATGTTTTTCACTTTTTTAGCGAGAAAAACTCTTTGAGTAAAACTTTTCTGGTTGAATGTGTGCGAAGCGGCGCTGCAAGCTGCAATAAAAGGCTGGAATTTTGGCGCGAAACTCAAACACCTCTGTGGCTTCTGATTGGACGTATCATTTTTCTCACACGTGAAGAAACATCGTTTGCAATTCTGATTGGATGTATCATTTTTTTCACGTGTGAAAACAATCGTTCGTTCCTGTGATTGGCTAGAACTAATTTGCGTACGAAAATTTACGACATAGCTTTTTGGCGAGTATTTCTCAGTATGTATATGATAAAATATAATATGATATATGGCTACAATAGTACGTGCGCTCTGATTGGCCGTTTTCTTGTAATAACCCGGCATTACTGGCTAGGTGTCCAAGGCAAATACAATCTGTGTTCAATTTGATACTGGACATCCTTATGGACATCCATGTTATGGCCAATTGACAGCTGTTAAAAGGGTATCCGCTGACCAGTATCACTTGACTGTATCACAACCTCAAGTGCCTAACTCATTGAGGTGGCGTGTTTTTTAAAGTTATTTGCTGACCAGTTACTGGTTTTAAGAGATCGCAGGCTCAGGTCCATAATGAAAGGCGTAATATAATAGATAACTTATTAACCTCATTCCGTTAAGGGGAAATCTCAGACCTCGGCCTTGATGTATTGACCGAGCGATAGCGAGGTCAATACATCAAGGCCTTGGTCTGAGATTTCCCTGTATTGGCCTAGCTCTCGGTTAATAAGTAGTACCTAATATAATACATGTATAATGTAATATATTGGAATAGAATAAATTAATACAAGTTTACCTTAACTGAACTACCTGCTGTCAATACTATACATATACTCTCTATTCGCTTCCCAGTAAAGGAGCTAGTATTCCCAATAAGGGGTCCTATACAATGTACGTAGTAGAGACCTGTTGCGGTGACCTATAACAGCCACCTTAATCGCGTGCAGTACGAAGAGAAGACTGTGCAACATGGACATACAAAAACATTCTGATTTGTGTCTTTGGTTGCCTCAACTAATGATTCTGCTGCAGGTACCTGTTCTATAAACATACACACGAACATTCATGGCGCCTTGCAACGCTTCAGTCCTCCGAAAAGAACTCAGGAGATGCTGTTCGCCGATTGGGCACGTGATACAAAGCATTTTTTGTGCCCAATCAGGAGCCAGCATTCGCTCGACCGGTCGGTTCCCAGGGGCTCTTCCGCCCATGCTTGAAAACTTTCGTCGCATTTTTTCTCCTGGCCAGACTTACTGCCCCTGGGCCTCCGAGGATGGTATCTAGCTGACGGTAGGTACTTTAAGTAGGGTTATTAAAGGAGCTGTGTCACGAAATTCAGCCAAATTAGGAAATTAAATTAAGAGAAACATAAAAATAACCGCTTAAAACTTTAAAGGAAGGTTAAAATAACACAACAGAAACAACAGATGTCACGGATGGACAAAACTGAAGAAGACTGAAACGGATTGAAATTAGGATTTTTGAAAATTGTTTAGCCTAACAGTTTTTCAAAGTTGATCCCTGCTGCTTGCAACTTCAAGAATAATGCTCAGGAGACATATTTGTTTGTCTCGGGTCTCTGATTTTGTCATTTACATGTAATTTCTTTGCTTACTTTAAGTTCCATAGCAACTGAGGGCGAGTAATTGGCAAAATTGAACAAAATAAACTGGACTGCCGTGACACAGCCCCTTTAAAGTGCATCAAGAATGCATTTAAAATGATCATCCTCTCTTGAAATGATGTATTAACATCATGGCAATACATGGCAGTACATGGTAATATATGGCTATATATGGCTATACATGGTGATACATGGCAATACATGGCAATACATGGCTACACATGGTAATACAAATCAGTATATGGCACGATGCTTTTATACTTTTATACATTTCTTGATACACTTTAATAACCCTACTTAAAGTACCTACCTAGCTGAAGCGAACTGCGGGCTCTTATGTGGGTTGAAAACATTACCTATTTTGGGAGATTTTGCTACCTAAACATTCCTTGCCTCAGAATAAATATCACGTTAATCTTTATGAGTTCCTCAAGCGACGAATTCACGCATTAGTAGGAAAGCTCAAAAACAGATGTTTCTGCTGGTTTCCGGTGGCCATATTTGTGCCCCTGAAAGGGACACTAACATGGCGTCTCCATACAAAGCTTTCTAAATTTGGGTAAAACGTTTTTCCGAATATGAAACCTTGCACAGTCCTGATTCTTGACAAGGCTTATTGCAAATTTATCTTCTCTCATTTCCCAGATTCTAGACTTTCTGTATCATGAAAGGTTTCCACAAAGTTTAATTTTGATGGCGTGACAGTGAACACTACCACTATTGATAAAGTAATTAGAGGAGTTCATCAGCTCATTGTTTAAAACGTTTACAGGTAACTGGTAATATTTGGAATCAGAGTCTTGATTTTATTGTAAAAATTATTTCTAATCATAGAGTATGTGTAGGACAGCGAAAAAGAAAGTGAACTTCGTCTTCTATTAGAGTGGATCCACAAAAAGGGAAATGCCTATTATCCTTCGTAGTTTGATTGTATCTACCCAATTCTATCATTAGTTTGTGATTGCTTATTTGTAGTTTTACTAAAGCCCTTCTCCCAGCTGTTTCTCTTGTTAAGTCTTAGCAATTAGAGGTGGTATTATCGCGTTTTAAAAAAACCTATAAAATTCAAGATTTTGAGAATGTTGAAGGGTGTTTTGCCAATATGAGATATATTCCTGTTTCATTGAACTTAGCTTTACAAAAAGATCTGTTTAAAGAAAATTAAAGTGAAGCCAGCTGGAGGGAGGTTTTTCTCAAACAAAATTATTGTCAAGCTTGTCACACAAGTTTTGCCCTTGCGTTTCCTCTCCCGTCCTGTTGCATAAGTTCACTAATAAGAGACGGTGAAGGAAAGGGCTAGCTCTAGCTCGCCTATGATTTTCCCATTTTCCCCACCAAGAAACCTGGTCCAATGCTACTGCGAAATTCCCTTGGAAGCCTTTGTTTATTAAGGGCATCCAACGAGAATAAACGTATTTTAGTATATAGACATATTTTATCCCCTAAAAAATTTTCATCTGTTCGGATTCCCTAGCTGAAAATCTAGTGATCCGAAAAGTATAGGGATCAAAACTTTCCTTTTTCGAAATTTCAGCGAGAAAAAAGGCTCCCGAAAATCTAGGTGACCTTTTTAGGGTAAAAATCCGTTAAAAATGAGCAATTACACCATTTTTTAGGTGTTCGAAAATCCTACTAGAGGTAGGCAAGCAAGAAATTTTTCAACAAATGTTCCAAGAATTCCAGATCTCAAATCGTCTTCCAAACAGATATTTATATCGAGCCGTGTTTTCATGTGAAATATGATCTTAAGCGACCCACTTAAAAGGGGCGAGCTTTGTTGAGAAACCAGTTAAGAGCTAATTCCCCGGAGGTAGCAATAAGAAATTTTCTGGGATCTGTTTAATCTGATGGCGAGAGGTGGAAGGAAAAATATCTCGCTGGAACTGTCTTTCATATACTAGGCATGTGAGCTACTTAAACCTGATTGGCCAAACTAATGCTAGTATCGAATCCGTGCCTGGTACAAGCCAACCCCACCGGAATATCACGTGCGTACCACGCCTCGATATAAATTACATTATGTCGCGCCATAATGTTCGGTTTTTCCGAAAATTGACTATCGGTGCCCCTCGTTTATGCTGTTGTTGTTGCTATTAAGACAGACTCCATGGGCAAGAAAATTGAGTAATTTTAATTTTCAGTGGACATAAATATTGTACCATAATTATTTAAAGCATATTGCCTTCTTTTTTACACTTTTCAGTGGCTATGGATGTAATTGGTTATCTGCTAACACCAAACAAAATTTTTTATGGGAGCCCAAAAAAATGAAGGTGTCTACTGCACAGGTTGTCGAAACGTCAGTCACTTTCAACAACAACTAACAGTCCTATTCAGGTCTACGTTCACCCGGACGATCAAACTCAACCTACTTTTGAAATGACTCCTGGGTTTAAACCTTTCACAGTTATAAGAAATTTTCTTTAGTATTATTACAAATAACTAATAGCATCATCTATAGCCCTTGTAAACTGTTAAAAAGAATGAAATATGCTTTAAATTATTCTGATACAAGGATTTTGTCACTGAAAATAAAACTTACTCATTTTCCTGATGGATTCCGTCTTAATTCAGTTTGGCCATGTCAAATTTGAACTTTATATCTGCAATGCAACCGAGTCTTAAATAATACCCTAAATGAATCGTAACCTAATTATGAAACAGTGTTCAGCCACTTTAATGATCGCATTTAAAGATTACCTTTATCAAGCCAAGGTCTTTAGGTTCACTAAGTCCGTTGAAAACACACTGCTTCCAGTTCATGTTGCGGGGCGTTCCTGGAGGCCCTTTAGCTCCTTGATCGCCCTTTGGGCCAGCAGGACCGGCAGGACCTACGGGACCTGGGCCTTGATATACGGTTAATGTATACGGTTTACCAGGGACTTCTGGAACGCAGCCTTTCGAAATCTTGTCACAGCCGCACTGAAAGGAGAAGCAACAACTGGCATTAATAACGTTTACAGTATTTCATTTAGACTTGATTCCACGTTCAGTCAACGTGGTTTTAAATGATTCTGAATCGCGAAAGAAAGTAAAAATTATATGATTGGAGCATTCAAGTATGGGGCTAAATTGAGGCAAAATCGTTACAATATAGTTCTACTACTATAAACAAGCAACAACCTCTTTCCTAACTACATGCAATAACTCACCGATTTCGACGAGGAATCATCGTCGTAATAATACTGTGCATAGCAGAAACTGGGAAATAGAATAAATGCTACCAAAGATAGTTGAATGGACAGCATAATCTTTTTAAAGCGCCTGATACCTATAAAATGAATACAAAAAAAGGTATCAGTTATCAACTTTGCACTTTAAAATGCGACATAGAGAAATTACAAGAATCGGCAGGCAGGCAGACATGTTTCATCGTTCACAATTTAGGAATCAAGAACATTACAAGCCATAGTAAAAAATTAAAACAAAGACATAAAACACAAATAAAAGAAACAAAGAAGCCAGCGCGAGAATATAAAGATTGGCAATCAGAATTTTCCCCTTCAGCTCGTACCTCATATAGCTAACTTTTAAAAAACTTACTACATACACGCGGCTTATTTTTCGTTATATAAGAGAAAATTTCGGTGGTCAGAAGTTGTGTGCTGCAACAGTCGGAATTAAACTGCGCAAAAATATGACACCATTTTTTTTTTTTTTACTGATACTAGTTTTCTTCCCAGTTAGCGCTGGTTGAGTGGAGTGACTTTAGGCAGGAGCCCATATTAACCTTTTGAGAGAACAACACCCATACTAGGCCTATGTCACGGCGTTTTAGAGGGCCGGTTTATTTTTCGATACATTTTAGCCGGAAAGCACAGTTCATCCGCGAAAATGGAAGCTCTCGGGTCATTCTTTACTAAATTGTTTGCGCCGTTCTGTTTTTTAGGAAGATTAACTGGGTTTTTCTGTTTAAATTTTATTAAATTTTATATTGCATCAACACCAAACCAGTTTAACCTCAACGGATTGAGTATAGGTAAAGTAAGTATGAAAATTATATTGACACAGGAACTGATATGGCGTTCGTCGGATCTGTGCCTTGCCATACCGTTCTTTCATCGAGGAATAAACTTTGCCCCGCGATGAACTACTATGAGCTTATCCTACATTGTTTTGGCCAAACTCCCCTAAGAGAGGATCTTATTCCATATCTTTTGCCTTTTTGAATAAGAAATAGGTAATCCCCCGCGAAGACAGTTTGTGATTTCTTCGCGCGCGCAGTGTGTTAGCCGCGCTTGGTCTTAGCCAGTTGCAAACTCGGACGCCCCATATTTCGTGAGTACGGTTTACTTCATCCTAGGTTTTTCGAGAACGCGACATTGCAACCCTTCTTTAACAACAGTAACCCCATTTAAGTCCCTGAAGATCCTTTTCAAAGCCATAGCACTGGGTTCAAATTTACTCCAAACAAAACGAGGTTAACTACATCTCACCTTACAATATTAGAGCCAGTGTTGAAACCTGCCATCCCCAGTCACACAATTTTCTCTATTTCTCTCCCGCCCTCCTTTCCCTGAGAGCTTCGCGAGGTTCTAGGATACATGTATTTCTAGTAAATAAGGGTCCACTCACAAAAAAGTGTGTTTTATTTTCTATTTATATTGCAAACCAAACGACTGCTTGTCGTAGAGAAGTGATCGGAAAGGATTCCGGAAATTGTTGGAAAGTAAGTCAAAATTAGTTGTTTGTTTTGGTCTATATTGTCTTCATTTGACGCTCTAGCTTATTAGGGCAAACGCCGACACCAACACTGCACGGTTAGATTACAAAATGATTGAGCAGAGAATGCAAATTATTTACTGCCAATAAATAGATGTGTAAAAGCAATAATGGGACAGAGAAAAGAGCTTTTAGCAATTGAATGCCGGCAGAGAATTTTAAAACATCTCGTAATTTTCAATTCGGAGCTTTTGAGCGTTTGAACTTTTGTTCTTGGTAAGCTAACAGGGGCGGATCCAGGATTTTTCTTAGGAGGGGGTGCACCACTAACTGACTGATGATGTAAGAAATTTTAAAAGCGAATACGAAGAAGAGGGCTTTTGACTAGGAAATAACATAATGTGAACTGCTGAGAATACATATCAAACGATAGAGCAGATTTTGTATGACTGTGAAGCGCCTGCACAGTGTTAATTAGAAAGCGGCCGCAGGTCATCCGGGGGGGGGGGTGCGCACCCCCTGCACCCTCCCCCTAGATCCGCCCCTGGCTAAACATCTTTTGACTCATTTTTCAAACGATGTTTGCAATCCCGTCAAACTGAATATTTACTATGAGTAAAAGCCTTTTGCGAGAAACACAAAAAAGTTGATAATTTCACCTGCTGCTGATGCAAATTGCTTTAAAGCTCAGACAAAAATCGCAAAGTAGTCAGTCTGACGTCATCTGGGCGCTACACTTTTGTTCTTTTGCATTGCATCTACGTATTTTATCACTGTGTCACGGTATGTAAGTACTTTGAAAAATTCAAAACGTTCACTAAACATTGGTCAGCTGATTGTTTACGGGTTGCCATGATGATAGGTAATTTATCTGCGAGGAATTTGTAGATGAAAAAAGGAGTCACATTTGGCTTTTTCTCGGGTTTTTAATCGAACTGTCTTCACGTTAAGAGGAGTCCCTGTGTTTGCTTGAATTAGACATAAAACGGTGGTGTGCACATCGATGAACAAGATGAAGAAATGAAATTTTTAAACTCACTTAAAAAGACAGCTAACTTACAGTGCGATCATTCAAATTTATACTTGGTTTTGACTCCCGGAAAATACCACAACCAGCACATATAAGAACTGAATGCAAGATTCTTTGAATTTGTATCAGTTGTATTCATCAGTAACCGATTATATGCAGAACAAGATTTCATTAATAATTATTCAAATATTCTGAATTTACCGATTGATATTGCATATATAAGTAAAGACGAGGCACACAAGATCAATATCGTTGTTTATGGTCGAAATATATCAAAAACAAAAACTCTGTTCCGACTACCGACTTCTGCAAAGTCTCTTGTGAACTAAGATGATTAATTTTCAATTTTTCTGGAGTCCCCCGGTCCCTTTTCAGCAATGTCAGCCTAGCAGTTATTTAATATGGAAGAAACAATTAAATTTTGCTATTATTGGAATATTAATGATAGCCAGCATCTTTATGAAAACTTGAAAAAAGGCAAGTATCTGAACACGTTGAGCGGCTTGAGAAACAAATCCTTTAAAATTCAGAACTTTGCAAACGCACCATTTACATGAAGAAACCGGAAATTCCAGTTTGAAAATCAAATGGTTCTCGCTATTCCATTGGGCTTACGTTTGAGACGATGCAATTTCTATTCTCTTAGTCCAGTGACACCGACTGATTTGGAATATACTTTGTGATAGGAACTTCTCTCACAGGGTCGAATTTAAAACTTTGTTTATTGGATTATCAAATTAAATAAGTGTTTTGCAAACGTGTAACCCCCAGATCTGTCTGGCATGGTTATGATATTTCCACTGCACTAAACGATTTTCCGTGCTCCTAACACCATGCAGTACAAGAATATTGAAAGCTTTCCCGATTTGTAAAAGAAATTTCTTGTGATTACCTGTAACGAACCTCAAACATTCTTTTTCAGAAACTTGAAAAAGAAAACCTAATTTTAATTTGACAGGACAATACTTGTTCCCCGTAATTTAGCTATAACGCGGCTATGGTCAAGACGGAAAAAAAGCTAAGACTAAAGTATTGTTACAAACAAACAATTAATTAATTAAAGGATACAAATCAACACACACTCTACTTTGTATTAATAGTTTTGATGTTAGTTATTGACAAAAGTTTGGCTTGCAAATCGGCCAACAAGGCACACACGCAATTTAAAATAGGGATTGATCCCTGCTAAAGTTTTGAGAAATTTAGTTTTACTGATTGCAAACATCAATGTAGCTATCTTTGTTCTCTATAGGAATCTCGAAAAAGGGTTTTCTAAAAGTCATTTTTAAACCGTGTGTATCTATCAAGTGGTGGAAAGAGCTATGGCTTGAAACATGCAACTTGCAGAAAGCGTTAAAAAATATCTCAGTTTTGAAGAGGCTACGTTGAAATGCGGGAACGGGATACATTAGGAGCAAAGGGTCAGTAGCTTCCAAAGGTTTAAAATACCATGATTATAGCGTGTACAACTCAAGGTTTTTTATACTTACCTGTTTACGCTGAAGTCTCAGTCAGTTCACTGGCTGAAAGCAAGGAAAAATACACAAAAACAGATCTAAGAAAGCAATTATATACAACATCCAAGGGACTTTGCGGTTTCCAACGCGGAAAAAGTTTTAATTGCACTTCTAAACACTAAACAATCAGTTCCTTCACGTCATTGTCTCTTTGGAGATTGTTCCAAAATTAAAAGCAAATGACGTGATTTATGACGAGCTTCAGTTAAACTGAAAAGATCTTTTTTTTTTCATTTTGCATTCTAATTGATACATTTTGTTTTTTCTAAAGAGCAACAACAAATTTTTGCCCGTGGTCATGGCACTTTCGTATTTTCCGCACAGTCATCAGTCATGGCCAATGCTGCAGTATTGCGGAGATACCCAACTCGGTTCTCAGTTCAAATGCTTTAAGACTGCCAGAAAGTAATTCTGTAAACACACCTCTGCCTCCGCATAACATATCAATAAGCATCATTTTCAATCGATTCCCCATGCCGGAAGGTTATTTCGTGAGCGCTTACGGATCATTTCTACCGCGCGCCTTTTGAACTGTTGTTATTGCACCAGCGGCTTGTCAAACTGAATAAGGGAAGCCATATTACCAAACGGTTGTTGAAATGGTCAGGCGAGCTATTCAAAAATTCCAATTTAAACGTTCGTTTGTTTTCGGGGTGCTTACTGTTTTACTATAGTGACTTCGTTAGCATATCATGGAACAGCCTAGAAGAGATGCACTTTACTACATTCAGATAGTTTTTCAACGTGCAAATAAGTATTAATAGTTTAAAACGACACAGTTTTTCAATGTGCAAACAAGTTTACGACGTTAAAAGGAATTTCGTGGTCTCCCAACGCGGAAAAAGTATTATTAATAAGTAATTATCACTTCTCAACACTTGATTGGGCATATTCATTATTTTGATCGTAGAATTTATTTGCTTGTTTGATTTAAATCCTTTATCAGTAAGCCTTTTAATTGACATTACCTTTATCTTTCCACAGTTTAAGAAAACAATCGTATTGTAAGATTTCATTTAATCCTTTTATTGATTTCTCGAAAACTGGTTGCAGTTTTTAATACCTTCCAATTGAAATTGACAAAAAGGTATGTTTTCTGATATTGAAGATGCGGCTTCTAAATAAACACGAAAAAAATTAATTCTACTTCGGCTACTATTCTGGTCATTGTTTCCAAGACTTCATTCACTGCAATTGACAACATGAAAATGAATTGATTTCTTGCCCTTAAGTATGCAAACTTTAGAGTGTAATTCTCCCGGCAAAAACCTCTTTCAAAGAGTAAGACAAGAAAAATAGCTAGCGTCTTTATTGGGGTTGTATAACTGAAAGCGGCAGTGTCATGGCTCCCCGGAGAGCTTGCACGCCGCCTTTGTTAATAGTGGAGCCTGCATTGCTATAGAAACTGGGAGTGACTTATTGATGGGAGAAAATTTGTTTATGACGTCAGCAAACGCCCGCCCGCCTGTTATACACGCCCTACAGACTGTCAGGGAGGGACAGAGGAGAATCCGCAACGGAGGGCAGGGGTAGTCTACGAAAGATAAAAATAACAATAATAATAATAATATACACTTTTCTAACGCCTTTCTCTTGATCCAAAGCGCTTTACAATCGGTACTTATAGTAATAAACCTAATAAAATATTACAATGACTTAATTGTTAAAAAAATAAAAAATAAAATGGATAAGTAAACAAAAAATAATAAATGAATAATAATAATAATAATACTTAACATGAAATTACAACTGAAAAGCACGCTTAAAAAGAAATGTTTTGATTTTTGTTTGAAAGCGCAACATGTGCATAAACTGACTGGCATGGAATTCCATATCTTAGGAGCTGCGTGTAAAAATGCTCTGTAACCATAGGTTTTATGTGTTTGTCTTGGCGAAAGGTTATCAAGTTCACCTGGAGGCCACCAAGGTAGTTGTTCCAGTAAAATATCTTACAGATTCTTTTGCTTGACTTACGCCAACTGACAAGATTAAATAAATTGATTTCCTGCCCGTAAAAGTGTAGACAAAGTGTAATTATATAACTCTCCCGGCAAAAACTTCTATCAAAGCGAAAGTCAAGAAAAATAGCTCGCGTAATTATTGGAATTTAAAGCGGCTGTATCATGGCTGTATAGTTCATTTTGGTTATAGCGGAGCCTTTATTGCTATAGAAATTGGGAACATATCGATGGGAGAAAAATTTTGAAGATGATGTGACCTGCAGAAATATCAATTTAAATGAAGATATGATCGTCCCAGTGGTAATTGCAATTTAAGCAGTTGCAAGTTAACCCGAGAAAAATTTTCGGGACTTCAACGGGGTATGAGCCCATGGCCTCCGCCTTAGCGCTGCAGTGCCAATTTGTTGATTTCATCTTAACCCACGAAAGGACTGAAAAATAGAATGAACATGATGTGAACTGCAGAAATACAAATTTAAATGAAGATATGATCATCGCAGGGAAAACTTTGTTATGACGTCAGCGTACGCCCGTCCGCCTGTACACACCTACAGGGGGAGGAGCAGGGGATAATCTACAAGGGAGCGGACGGGGGAGTCTTATTAAGAGAGCTATGGCAACATTAAATTTAGGGGCTGACCTATAACTTTGCAAAGGGGTGTGGTGGATGATTCGGTGATTAATTTTGGAGGAATTTCTTTTCCAAGCCTGCTACTCTGATCTAAGTTGATACATATATTGATGTTTTGTTTTGTTTGTTTGTTTTTGTTTTTTTGTTTTTTGCTGTTAATAAGATTTTTAGCTTGATAAGAGAGTTTTGTTATATCAGATGTGTTTTTTCAAGATATATTTTCAACATCATCCAGCTCCTCTCTCAAAAGGTAAACGGAAGGCTCCCGGGGATAAGTAGGAATTTAAGACAGAATCCACCAGGAAATTGAATAATTTTAATACTGAGTGGACAAAAACCTTGTACCAGAATAATAAAAACAATATCGCATTATTCTTTTTACAATTTTCAAGGGCTATAGATGTAATTAGTTTTCTGTAATAACACCAAAGACAATTTCTGATGGGGACCCGAGAAAATAAATGTCAAAATTCACAAGAATTGTGAAAACACAGGTAAAATTCTGAAAATTTCATGTGTAAGATGTCTCTTTGTGAACGTCGACATTTATTTTCTAAGGCTCCCATGAGAAATTTCCTTTGGTGCTATTATCGATAACTAATTACATCTATGGCCCTTGAATAATGTAAAAAAGAATACAATGCACTTTAAATTATTCTGGTACAAGGTTTTTGTCCACTGAAAATTAAAATGACTCAATTTCCCGATGGATTCCGCCTTACAGATTTTTTTTCGTGGCTGAAAGTTCATTAAAATTAATTGCCTAATTTATTTTAAGTATATAGACGTACAACCGAGGCTTTGCTTTTAGCCCTGGCTAAACCTTGTCTCCCCCGTCAAACATAATATCAATCGTCATAAACAACAACAATGATTTCATGAACTTTAAAAATCCTTAGGCTAACATGTTTTCTAAACCACAATTTCAATCCGTTTCAATCTCCTAGAACGTTTTTCAACTTGTGTCTCCTTTTGTACTTACTGTGTTATTTGTTCCTTCTTGTAACCCTTTGAGCCCCAATATCCACAAACAAATTCTCCAAACTGATCTCTATACATTTCCTTACAGAATTAGTTGGGAGAAATTGATAAAACATCAGAGATTTTTCTCTTTGTTATCATTTGATTAATTCTCATAGATGTTGCACTTGACAATCTATGGATACCGTTAGGAGAAAATTGATGTTGGTCACTATTGGGGCTTAAAGTGTTAATGCTTTGAGTGGTTATATTCTTATTTTTCTTTCCATTTAGTGCAGGTTGTCTGACTTTTTATCGATTTGTTTTTATCTGAAGGAGCAAAGGGTCTGTAAAGCATCCAGGAGTGAAATCCACCCACCAACTGGATCTGGATACCACGGAAAATGTTTCCAAACATAATTATTTACTTTGCTAGAACTTTTGATGGAAGATAAAATGAATACTACAAATTTGCTTAAACTTTATTCAAGTGTACATTAAAAACTAATTTATTATCTTTTTTACTGTTTACATTAAATGTGTTTTGTATAAAATACTGACATCAGTTGCAGAGTGAAATACATAACTGTTCAGTTCCATCCTTTTTGTTTTGCAATTTAAAAAAGAGGAAATTACGGTGTTCCAAGTGTTCCAAGTGTTTTCAAGTCAAAAATGCTTTTTTGACAGTGCATCTATTAATTTTGATCACGTGCTTCCTATTTCATGAATTGCTCATATTTACTGTTGAGCACTTGGCACTTCTTCAATGAAGATCCGGGACATTGTAGTCCAGCCTGTATCCGCATCAGTAAGTTTGTGGCCATCGTTGCAGCTTCCAACCCAGAATCCCACTCGCACTTTTCCCTTGTGGATGTTATTGCAGTGACCTTCAATGTGGCGATGACGATGAAGGTTTTTGCCAGCCCCTGATGCCATATAAAATGCACCGTCAATTTTACCAGGAGAGCTGCACTCGGCGCCATTGAATTTGAAATACCAACGACTGCAGCAGTCGTTACAGTTGTAGATCCGGAGATTACCAGCGAAGTAAACATGGAGAGAAGTTTCGGTGTATTTCTTCATGAATTCGCAGCTCTACAAGAGTCAAAATGAAATAAACAGATCGACTTTGCCCATCATATTTAATTGTAAGCGTAACATCAAAACAGTGAATCAGGGGCACCCAACGAGAATATAGTTCAAAACCACTTCAACATAGCATTGTTAAACGTATTTTAGTATTTAAACGGTAGATATAGGAATATTTTTATCCCCTAAAAATTTTTCATCTGTTCGGATTTCCAAGCTGAAAGTCTCGAGATCCGAAAATCATAGGGATGAAAACTTACCTTTTCGAAAATTTCAGCTTGAAAAAGCTTAAGGCTCCCGAAAATTCTAAGTGAGCTTTTTAGGGTAAAAATCCGTTAAAAATGGGCAATTACACCAATTTTTAGATGTTCGAAAATCCTAGGAGAGGTAGGCAAGCAAGAAATTTTACAAAAAATGTTCCGAAAATTCTAGATCTCAAATCGTCTTCCGAACAGATATTTTCCGAAAATTGACGTGGGTGCCCCTCAGTGAATTTTATAGCGCGGATTTTTGGCCTCTTCGAAGGCTAAGTTCGTCTTGAAATTTCAAGGTGTTGCAGTTAATCAATCTTAATGAAAATTTCAGGCATCGTGAAGATTATGTGATGAGGTTTAAAAAGAGTTCTGTCGAGCCGTTTCAAAGATATACAGAAAAGCACTAAAAGTCAAAATTTATAATAAAGTTAACTTAGACAGGTGATGAGAAAACGGGTTAGTTTTCACAATCGCAAGAAAGAAAATACAGCAAAATCTCCAAGAAGTGAATAATGATATCAAGCAGCATTCTCAATCATACTTAAGATTAATTTGAGATATTTAGATCTTTTTTATCAATCCATTTTTCACGGCTATTGAAAATATAAGATTTGTAATATATTTACGCTTTATTTGAATTCAAATGTAAAGACGTTTTACTTCTCATGGAGGACCACGCTTAAAGTTCCTGGTATCGGATTTTCAGTAGTAGGTCTAGATCGCACAAAATTGGACTTTAATCGATTTCAATTTTTTTCTTTTATTGTTTTTATAGTGATATCGATTTTACTTAAAACTACATTTTGACAAACTTCCATTCATAGTCATTCACTGGTGAAAGTTTTATAGCGATCGGACAAGGATAAAATCACTGTTAAAGAGCCCGGAGTAGTCAGTCGATAAAAATCGGTATCGATTTATCAATCACTAAATCGATAAAAATCGGTAAATCTGATTGATTGACATCGGTTGTATCGGTCAATCGGTAGAAATCGATGACACACTCACTTCGTTCAACGATTTATCTTACTTTTTCCCGATTTCATCGATTTATATCGGAAAGCTACATCAGCTCATCTGTTCAACAACAAATGGAAACAATTGTTAATGCAGACAGTAAATTTGTTGACAATTGAGTTTCAATTGAGAGTCGAAGGATCAAACAATTACCCTCACTTCTTGTAGAAATAATCTTTAAAACGATCTTATCTTTTCTTTAAAACCAGGCTAAAAATCTTCTTCTGATGGCTGATATTGGCCAGTTTTAAAGGCGCCCAATTTCACGATTTAGACCCGACATCCTTTCAACATTTCGGTTGTAGCTACATCACGGACTAGTTAACAGATAAAAATCGAATAAAAATCGAAATCGGTGAAAATCGGTAGCAATCAAGTGATTTTATCGATTGATAAGGGAAAACGGTGAAAATCTATCTAGAGTAATCTTTTAACCTGAATTAAGTTCAGACACCGGCCGCTTAGTCTCGAGGGAATGTCTGGAATTCAGGGTAGGAGATCTTCATCTAAGGTTGTATTTCTAGCCAGAGAGAACTGGACAGTGGCGGAATCAGGGGGCCCGGCCCCCCTATTTTTAGACCAAACTGAGGCCCCAAGCGCCGAAAAAAATTTTTTTGGAGGCCCCCCACCCCTTATCTCAAGGTGTGGATCCGGCACTGCTGGATGTAATTAAGCCGCACCGTTTTTGTCATTGAACAAAATTAAATGTTTTAGAGGGAAACTTCTGTGTGTAATCACATCAAATTTATCGATTTTTGTCGATTGATTAATCGATACCGATTTTAATCGATTGACTACTCCGAGATTAAAGTTAGTTAATTCGCTAAATAATTTCCTGGTTTTATCATACCTTCTGTCATCTAATAGGCTTGTGTCAATAATATTCCAAGTTCTGCAATCTTGCCGACATTCATTTTCATGTTATTGTAGTGATATTTGGCAAAGAGCAACTTACATATATCTCTCCCGTATCTCTATGGTCCACCTTTGTAAACGTGCATTCCTTCCAGTTCAAATGGGAAGCAAGGTTGGCAGGCCCTCCTTGGCTGGCACTGTCACCTTTCTGCCCTTGATCTCCCTTGGGACCAACAGGACCCTGCATACCACGCTCTCCTTTCATTCCTTTCTCTCCAGAAGGTCCCTGGGGTCCAGTGTTTCCCGGACTTCCTTGTTCTCCTTTGATTCCATCACGACCATCACGGCCGGGTGCACCAGGGGATCCCGGAATTCCATTTATACCAGGAATACCATTTCTACCTGGTTGCCCACGATAGCACAAAGTTCCCTATAAAAGAAAATTAAATGAATTCTGTGATTTGATAATTACTGACTTAAGAATACTTTTTATTATCATATAAACACTAATGAAATACTAGGTGAGCTTTCGCGCGAAAACATGATGTCTTCACACGTGAAAATAACATTATTGTTATTTTCACATGTGAAAATATCACCGTTGCTACGGCCACATAATAAACTGCGCCTCTTGCAGGAAAAAAACTGTTTCAGTGAAATGGTTTGGTATTTCATTGGTGTTTATATAATAAATAGAACATTGCATGGTCGCTTGGAGATACGAAATTTCTCTTCTCGTGTTGAAAATATTTTCAACACTCGAAGAGAAATTTCGTATCTCCGAGCGGCCATGTAATATCCTCTATATACCAACCACACTCATTCTTATTCAAAGCTACACTGTACAGAGCGATAAACAATTTCTCAGATGTGAATTCGTTCAGTTAAGGGACCAGTCATAATTTAAGTTGGAGGGGGGGGGGGGTGGAGGAGAAATTGGGGGACCTTCAATTTTTTTTGGATGGAATATGGGGGGCCTGAAAATGCGAAAAGATGACCTTGGGGGGGTCTTCAAGTTTCTTTTAAGTAGCATCCCTACTAAGTAGCATGATGTTTGAGTATAAAGGACCTGATTTTCATTCAGTTTTACACAAAGTCCTATATTGTGTAATACTAAAACAATTCAATCAGCATTTTTACAAAAAGATTTAATGTTCAAACAGTAGGTGCATCAACACAAAATCCATTATTGTGTAACACTGAAACAATTTCATCGGCATTTTAACAAATGATTACATGCATAAAGTCATGTTATGCAATCTCACTATCCGAATCATTATTTGTAAATGAGGTTGATGTGGACTCACTGTCTGTGTCACCGTCACGTTTTTTGCTATTATAATATGTACTGCTCATATAAAAAGCAGTAAGCTTTGGCTGATTATCTTCTTTCTTCCTTGAAGTGGTCCTGTCCGCCTCTCACCTTTCGATGGCTTGTCTTATCTCAATTATAACACAATCACTGATATATCCTTGCTCTATAAGCTGTTTGAGAGGCTCTAGGTGAAATCTCTTTCTCAGTTTAGTGTGAAGTGCTTCTCTGTTGTTATTTGGCACATTCGGAAGTGACAGTGAGTAAGAACGGCAAAGTAAAGAAAATGTTATTTGTTATTACCATTTGGGTATTATGTATAAGAAAGGGGGGTCCTTAAATCTTTTAACATGATTGAAGGGGGGTACCTAAAAAACATGGCTGCTATTAGTGGGGGTCCGGAAAAAATTTGGAATAAAAAACAATTTCTCCTCCACTCCCCCCTCCAACTTAAATTATGACTGGTCCCTAAGGAAAACAAGTGATGGCCAAAATTCACCTTGTTCGTGTTTGGATTGCTGCTTATGGAATTTTCCACTGCAACTGCAGAGCATACCATTGACAGTCGCAACGTCATTGAATATAAAATGATGGTCAGCGGAAATTTCATCGCAGCTTGCGCCATGATAGTTATCGTCCCCTGATCTGGTGAAAAAAAAATAGGATTACTTTACGTTTCTGGGAAACTGCCCACCTACCCTCTCCTCGACCCCTAAGCCAACATTTTGCCTTAAAAGAGAAGTAAGTGCTTATGTTGGCTTAGGGGAGGGGTAGGTGGGTAGTTTCCCAGAAACCTACATTGATCCAAAAAATACACAATATGTAGCTTTTATTCTCCAAGTGTTAAAAATTGCAAATTTGCAAGGGGCACCATAGTCATTCGAGCAAGAAAGGGCGAGGAAAAGATTAAAAGCTAGGCAAATATTGCTATACATCGCTAATTTGACCATAAGTGTGTGAGCTTTGTTGTTGCCTTTTTCTGCTTGTTTAACCGTCTTGGTATTTTGTGACTGTGTAATTTTGTTAATTTGTGTCGCGGGTCGTGTTGCGGGATCGCCATCTTCTTTACGGGACCAGCGAGGGCATGAAAAATTAGTTCATTTTGTTCTCTAAAATAGGCAACGTCTAGTCTCCAGACTAGGAGGTTCGATTCAGAGGTCACACACATTTATATTCCATGTGTTCGTCAAATCGACAGTACTTTTCATCAATCCCTTCGAGTGTAAGCCTCTGTTTATTTCTTAATTCTCCACCAAATTAAGTACAGTTAGTCTGTTCGATTTTCTACAACAATCGGCCCTTTGAACCCGAAATAATGCGAATTAGCTTTGAATTACGTGCCTAAGCTAATTTCTCCTCATATGCATCTTTGAATTCATGAGAATACAGCTCCAGCAGCTTCAAACACCGTCTATGGCGGCGAAAAATAGTTTTAATATAACAAATTTACTTCACCAAAACTAAGTCAGGCACCTTGTTTCAGTTGGCAAGGAGTTGCTTGCACGTGCAGCTGAACAAGGTTGGACTCCCGGCGAAGCTGTTTTCAGTTTCTTTATTGTACTTTTTTTTTCTGTTTAGTTTTGTTCTGTTTTTTTTATTTTTTTTATTTTATTATTATTATTTTTTTTTTTACTGTTTAGTTTTTTAATCTCGTTTTTTCACCTTTAGCACATGAGACGGCCCTCCCTCCTGGTAATCTCCTACATTTCGCCTGTTTTTCATTTTCATACACTCGCACAGTGACAATTGTCTTGGAGAAAATTAATCAAGTACGTTTCTGCCTTTAAGCAAATAAGCTGTGATTCGCAAATTCTGCGCCAAAAAAATACAGACGAAAAGCTTTCGAATTTCCCACCAAGTTTTTAAGTATGTTTGCTAAACCAATGTTTTCCTGGTTATTACTTCTTACCACGACCATAGCTAGCTAAATTTTGTTGAATATTCTGTTATTTTTTTTGTTCAACATTCAGCACCGAAGCCACCGCCACACGCGAGAAAAAATCTCTGGTACACAGGACACAACCAGATTGCATCTCAGAGTAATTAAATTTAAAATGTTCCGGAGGATGCCTTCAGGTACCGCTAACATTTCACACCTTCAGCGCTTCTCATGGGTGCCTAAAGGCGCCGATATTGAACCTTCCCTCAATGTGCTTCAATCACTAAGGCTTACAAACGGAAAAAGCCTAGTAATGAACGCCTCTGTTAATATACGAAAATTAACAGTAACAATGGGAGCTAAGGCGCCGATATTGTATCACCCCTCAATATGTTCCACCAAGATTCACAAACGGAAAAAGCCCAGGAACGCCTTTGTTAATATAAGAAAATTAACTGACAATGGGCGCTTTTTAAAAGGGCGCCGATATTGTATCTCCCTTCAATATGCTCCTGTAAGGCTTACAAAAGGAAAAAGCCTAGGAACGCCCCTATATGAGAAATAAACAGTAACAAAAGGTGGACCAAAGCTCATTATCAAAAGATGGCGATAACGTCACAACTCAATTTCTCTCCTTTTTTTCCACGAGTGGAAAACCTTCGGAGAACTAACAAGTGGGTTCAGAGAACGAGTGAGTTTCCAAAGTTTTGCAAATTTGAATTAAAAATCCGTCAAAGCACTTTTTATGACGTATTTTTTTGAATATATACAAGGCGAGAATTAAACATTCTTAGATATTATCTGTTTTATTTCCATTAGTACCATAACATCGTGTAAAAACAGTATCTATGACGTGGCGTTAAACACTTTTCTCCTACAACATCATAAAAACAGAGTCCACACAAATGATATTTAACTCTCTATATCCAAGACAAAGGACAATATCAACCAGGAGAATACTAACAATACAATTAGAAAAAGCGTTTCATTTTTATCACTGTTTTACTCAATGAAGTAATGCTCTTACTTCCTTCCTACGGCTTACTGAATTTACGAACCACTTTAAGTCTATTTTAGCCCTCGAAAAGTCTGAAGTTGATCTTAACTTCTTTGCCAACCACTTGAACTCAGTTTCAACAGATTACATAACACGTATCTCCGGCCTTACGTTAATCACATATCCAGCTCATGAAAACGTTAATGCTACAAGTTCTCTCCAAGCACGAAAACATAACAAAAGACTCGTGGAATATATCACATTGATTTAAATTTTACTGAACTTGTAGTCACTGAGTTCCTTAACGAATTACGGAATAAATGTCTAACATGTACTGTAGCAATCCAGCAATCTCAGGAACAAAACTAAGAGCAGAAATTAATTGCTTAAAAAAAGAGCATACCCAGTCCAAATAAACCCGGTTATGGTAACATTTTAGATGACTGTGGCCCTTCAAAACACTTAACAATCGCAAAAGTCACTTACCAAGTATTCATGTATTCGTTTACACCGTGCAGCCTGCAGGACAAGAGTGCCTGTACGAGGGCACACCAGCGACCTTTTATGATGTTAAACAACAACGCCAACTTCCGTACTTGAAAAACAATTCTCAAAGCACGATCAATATTAATATATTTTTTTTCATTGTAAAATGTTTCTATTGAAGAAAAGGAAACGACGCGGCAGAACTGAGGGAGTGTTTATTCAGACCAACTAGTCATGGATCTGCCTGCTTGACCCTGCTGTCGGCATTTTACTTCTATAAATACCAATACCGATGCAATAGAAATTTCTTATTAGAATTATAATTATTATTATTATTATTTTTTTTTTTTTTTTAAATAATAAAAACAAAACTTTATTCATAGATTTAAAAAAAAAATAGACTATTTACAGATTCAAGAATATGAAATATTAAAATATATACCCTATGTACATTTTTCTTGTCTACGAAAGAGAATTGTTGTAAAATGACTATCTAAAGACTACTAATAACAATTATAAAAAGGATCAAAAAGTTGATAAAAAAAATAAAAACTATTTAAAAATAATAATTCAAACTGATAAAAAGTTACTACTTAAATTCTGGCTTTGCACTTTCCGATGTAATGTCAATGTCAGATATATTGGCTGCTCTTCTCTTGCTCCTGGTTCCTCTGAGACACAGCAAGGCTGATCGTAAGATGGCAAAGGATACTTTCGCCCTTATCCAAGATATGGTTGTAGCGTAGTCATCTC